ACTCAAGACTGAGTAGTCTGCTCCGGTGTCCACGAGTGCCATTGCGTCGTGACCGTCGATGACGACGTTTAGGTTGTTGGACACCGTTGCAGGGGCGTCGTAGCGATGCGTGGCGTCGGGAGAGTGGGAGCGCTCCGGCGTTCTTGGAGGCTCTTTACGTCGGTCGTCTTCGGCAACTCCACCTCCAGGGGTTGCCGCGCCTAGTTTCCCCGGCGAGGAGCGAGGGGCGACAGGTTTTCACGTCGGGGTCGGTGCATCGGCGAAGCTGGACGTCGTGGCGATGGCGACCGGAACTCTCGGCGGGACGCAGGCTCGGGGGACTGGGGTCGTCGCAGGTACTCGTCGATCTCCCGAGGGCGTTCACCACACCGGGGGCGCGGGTCGTTTGGGTGGAATCCGCGCAGCCCGAGTCGTCGGTATGGGCATCGGCGGTACACATGGTCGGCTTCCCCGCAGTGGTAGCAGAGCGGGCGTCGGTCGGCCGTTCGCCACACGTCGGTCTTCCTCGACGAGGGTTGCTCCGGGCGAACGTCGTGGACTTGTCCTTCCTGGCGTCGAGGATACTGTGGCATCGGAGGGTCTCGTCGGGGTGGCGCCGTGGTCTGGCGGTTAGCTTGCGACGATCTTCGGGCCATGGCGGCGTAGCTCAAAGTAGGCTCCTCTGGCGTCGTCGTTTTGATCGGAATCTCAGGTTGGAAGGCTCGGTGGACTTCCTCTCGGACGACCTCGGCGAGCGACAGGGAGGACGAGCGATCCGTAGCGGGGAGCATCTTGCGGATTTCTTCCCGGACGACTTCACGGATGATGTCACGGATGCCTGGGAGGTCGGTACCAAGGTCGTATCCGGATGTCGCCAGAGTAGTCACGCCAGGGTGCCGCTCGTAGTGTCTGGCGCGTGCTAGTAGCGCACGCTCCATATTCGTCGCCTCCGTGACGAACCCGTCGACAGTTGTCGGAGGATTGCGAATGAGACCTCCGAATATCTCGCTTTTGACACCCCTCATCAGGTGTCGCAGCTTCTTCTCCTCTGTAGCCTGAGGATCGGCGCGGGCGCTCAGGCGAAGAACATCCTCAACGAAGCTGGTGATGCTTTCATTCAGACCTTGGGTCCTTGTTCGAAGGATGTCTTCGGCCCTCTCGCGTCGGTGTTGGCTGGTAAACGTCTTCACTAGCTCTTGCTTGCACACCTCCCACGAGGTTAAAGAAGCCTCGTGGTTCTCCAGCCAGTACCTTGCAGTACCTTCCAGCGAGAAGTAAAGGTTCTGCAAGCAGTGCTCAGCTGACCACCCGTTATGTCGGGCCACACGTTCATAATGTTGCAGCCAGTCCTCGATGTCCTCGTGGGTGTCTCCGTGGAAAGGCGTCGGAGTTTTGGGTGCGACGGGCAGGTATACGACGCTGGCGGTGGACGGGTTCTGGGACGACTGGCTGTCCATCGTTGGCCTCGTTGGCTGCTTAGTCTTGGGCGGTAGAGGTCCGAATTCCGGGTGTAGACCTTGGGTGCGACGACTGCACCGGATCTCGGAAGTGCTTTCGTCGGTTCTTCGTGGGCTAGGCGTCGGACTTGCACTGTGGGCCCTCGGAGGGGTACGCGGCAGGGGCATGCGGTACCCCGCACCTCCACCAAATGTCACGGGTGGTGACCAAACAAAAAAACAGGAAATAAACAGAAAGAAATAAACGTTTAATGTGGCGAACTTGTACCAAAAAAATAAAGAAGGAAACAGAAGAAAGCAGAGCGTCGCGGGCGTCGAAGTCGGCGTGTCAGCAGAATCGAGCGCTAGGGCGAGACTGACTCGACAAGGTCGCGGGCGGCCTCTTATCTAGAGTGCGCCGCTATCTCGAAGATTCGGCGAAAGCGGTTCGAGCGTCGCGTGATCGGGGCGAGAATGAACACGCACTTTCTAGAAAACAAAAGCAGGGATAAATGATAGAAGTTACGTGCGGTACATGAATAAACGGGAACTTTCTGGAGGACCGTGACCGAGCGTTGCTTTCTCAGCCTTGCGCGCGGCAATATTAATATTAAGATGAATTAAGTTACAAAAAGTTATAAGCTGACACAGCGTTATCACGAGAAAACTTTCACCCACCTTGTCAACGTACCCAGTGTTCATCGGCGGCACAGCGTTCGGTGCGCGCACCATTCACAAAATGTTCCGAGGACAGCCGAGAGGATGGTGTTGGGGAAAAGGTTTACGGACGCAATCCACTGTCGCCGGAGATCGGAGTTATGTGGAAAGCGATGTAGCTTAAAGATATTGAAGGCGCACTCGCCTTGCCAGATTCCGTGCAAACTACATAGGTCATCAGACAGTATTCGACGCTTTCTTTCGTTATTCGTGCACCCTATAACCTAGCAACGGTGTCCGGATGACCGGGGGGACTGTCGCCATCGAAGCCCGTGGCTCTAATTAAGTTTGGGAGTTTAAAACAGAAAAGAAAGCGCGAACGAAGTTCGGGCAATGCATACACCCAGCACCGGCGAAGCCTCTCATCCGGGACTTTCACTCTTCTAACGCACCAGCAAGGGGCAAAGCGCCGGTTGCCCTTTGCCCTCTTCTCTCTCGCCCTCTTTCAGTACCACCACGAGGGAAGAGGGAAAAAGGAGCACCCCCTTCCGTGGGACTTTTTTTTCTGTCCCAGACGTCGCTATTGTCCCTCTACAAGATTATACACCAACTCATGTTTGGATGGTTGGATGGATGAATCCGGCTGAGCCCTTTGGATCAGGCAGGATGTTTACAAACAAACCGGAGCGCCCCTAGCGGACGCCACCGACACCGCGCATGCGCGATGGGGGTGTGGGCAAGAAGATCGCCGTCGCCCATAAACAAACCATTGGAATTGGATGTTGTCGGCGTCGGTGTGAGTCCCCGTGCTCTTTTTCGCGTTGGAATTGTTGATTCTACGTCTTCCTGGCAATGCCCGACTCAGGCACGTAGACAGGGGGGGGGGGGGGGGGGGCATGGGGCCCGGGCCTCCCCCCCCCCCCCCCCCGCCCCCCTCATACAGCATTTTGTCATGGGCGGCCCCCACCCCCGATATAATATCCTGGCTACGTGCCTGGTCCGACTACTTGAGCGGCCTCGGCGAAATTAACGAGGCTCGTTACACCGCGAAGCTTGGCGTGAATACTGTACCATGCGGCGATTCATTCCGCGTGGGGGTAGAGGAAAGTTATGAGCACAACGAACCGAGGCTCTGTTAACCCATTGATTATCTCGTACTGCTTATACACCTGCTAATTGCATTGCAGCAATTAAGCACAAATAATTTCAACTACCAGTGATATTTTTAATGCCAAACATGTTATAAATGTGTCGAAGTTTAGGACAAAGAAATTGACTGTATCATAACTCAATGCATCAAATGGAAATAATAAACGGGAAATCTTTCTCGGGTCATTGTTTCCTGTCAACGCTTACTTTTACCAACATGGTCCTACACCAAATTTGTTTTTAACATTATGTTTTTTTTATCGTTGCGAGTGTTGCTGTTTTTACTAAAAACAAAATCCACAGCAACCCTTTCGTATTGACGTAGCAATTTGAAAATAATTATATTATTTTGTATTTAAACTTTTGGCGAGATATTTTTCCACCAAAGGGAGAGGCACAACGGCGCATGCTTGTCGGTTCTCCTGCAAGAACCACGGTCGCTTCCCGCAATGCTTGGATAGAAAATGGCGCACCAGTGCAATTCACACGATTACCAGTGACCTCGGCGCTTCCCCGTGGCCCCTTGATGGGCAGTACCATGAGTTGCAGAGTAAATTTTACGACAGTGTGAAATGCGGGACATTTTGAAGATTTGGGAATTTCTCGCGGGACGCGGGACACCAGCCCTCAATGCGGGACAGACCCGCGAGTCGCGGGACGGGTGGTCACCCTACCAAGGAAGCTTTGAACACGCCGCGAGACCGGCGAAACATGCTCTCGACGAGTTGTGCCTTTTTCCTGCGGCACTGCGCTTTCGTAAAACTTTCCGCCTGTTCTCAACGGCAAGTATCACACCCGACACATGGTTTTAAAAAAAAATTTCGGCGAATGATGACGAACAAGTAGGAAACGTGTCTTTACGACGCTGCCGCCGGCCTCTGCAACGCTAGCAAAACAAAAAGAAAACGGCATTCAAGATGGCCGTCCGGTGGCCGCACTCGCGGAGCGGGGATGCACCATCCAGTGGAATCATACGAGGGGCGCCTGCGCCGCCTCTTCCACCGCTTGGTGGCGGGTATGTCAACGAGTCATTTCTTGTTTCCGTACTTTCTAAACTGCATTTGTTTCTTTTCTTATCTCAAATACTAGGCAGAAACTACTTTCATAAATACTCGAAACGGTTCGGGCCACTTATATTTTGTATTTCGACTAAAAAAAAGCTTTTAGCGGCTCTGACCAGTCGTAAGGCAGGAGCGGGCCAGGACCAAGGACGTCGTGATTTCGTCACATGCCGCGCGCGTTTAGGGAGGCCCTAGTGAGGGTGGGTGCAACTCAAAACCTGGAGAGCGTTTGCAATTTAATGGCGGCGCCTGAGGGAGAGGAGTTGCGCCAATGTTGCCTGCACGAGAGCAGACGCCCGCTCTGTTGCAACTCTGTTGCTCCATGCGCCTTTCCTCCTCTCGCCTCCCATTGCAAGCAACGAGGGCCTTGGCGCAGCCTCTCTCGCTTCCTTCTCGCTCCGAGAATTGCAAACGTCGAGAAGCAGGGTCGCCAGACAAGCAGCAACGTCCAAGATGGCGTAATTTACCATTTTTCGCGTTAAAAAAATACTTAACCTATCGCAACAAAACTGGTGGCTATGGGAAAGTAATCATTTATACCTTGTGAAAATTATTCCAGCACCTTAATGGGCTCCTATGACCTGAGTTAGGAAACAAAACGACCCTTTGCCCCATAGACTCCCAGCAGAATTTAGCAATTAAATGGAACTCATGTCGCAGTTGCTCACGCTGGGAAAACTAGCAATGTTATCTAGCGATAATTATTGTCTGTTTGCAGAATGGAGTTGGCGGAGCTTGTCGGAGTGTCCGCGTTCCTCGCAGTTGTCTCCACTGGAAGGTGCGTATGCAGAGAGACTGAAGCTGTCTTTTTTACCAGCGATGAAGTAAACAGTCTCGCAGAAAAACCTATAAGAAATACGGTAATATTTAAATTACCTAGCACCAGAAGGAAGCAGCAGCCACCAGGGAGTAGCAAATCTTAAAAAAAAAAATACCGCACAAATTGTGTCGTGATTGACAACGACTGCTGTTGCATTGTTGAAGGATGCGGTTTAGGAGGCTTGCTTTTAGCACAACCAGCGGCGCACAATTATATTTTTTTTCTGGGGGGGGGGGGGGGGGGGGGGGAGTTAGTGATCCAGTGTTTCTGGGTAGTTCTTGCCGCCTCTCTTGGTTTTCCAGATGTCCTTCGTTCGTTTGGCACGTATATCCCGCATGCTGAAAAGCGCCGACGTCGTGTTGGTGTAACAGTGTCCAAAAGGTGCGCGCAAACACACGTATGAAGCCGTTTTAGCACCGTTTTAAATGCGATGATTTGGAAAGGGAAACGCCATAACTGACCAATTATTTAATCTGTCTGCTATTCGGGATATTTTCTCTTATAATCGAGCGCAGGGAGAAAATGCACTCACTTCTTTCCATAGATATGCATTACAGAAGTCAATCTTCGACTCGTTGCAGTCTGCTTCAATTTGCGACAGCACACTATCGCTAGTTGAACCTCTAGCGTATATTATAATAACTGCATGACTTCTGGTAAGCCGACAAGAAGCAAAACAAATTCTTCAAAAAGACCTCGCGTCCCAGGCAGTAAACAAATATAGTATCAGTAATAGACTCAAGATGGAATAAAATCATTATGAGACAGCACCACATAGCAAAATTATGCAGGGCGTGCGGACGTAAACAAAAAGCAAATAATGGCCGAATTTCCGGAGGGAGTATCTTCCGGTTGACTGTTGTTTTTGCTTGTTCTTGTGGACCCTCAGTGAGTGCTAGTAGCGCACATTTTGAACGTCTCATCTCCTGAAATTTACTTATACGGGATCGACATCCCTTCCTGGTCCGTTGGTTGAAAAGAAACACCACTTGTTTGTTCCTCAAGGAAAAGTGGTGCCTTGACCTTTAATTCGCATTACGTGTCATCATTCCACGCTTGTCGTCACGTTTCACGTGAGCGTTGTGGGTTGATTGAAATTCCCCGTTAGGTCATGTGACTGTGACGTCATGACCCTATCGACCAATCAGGAGTATCTCGTCCCACCGACGCCGACACCGACGCCGACTTTTCTGCGACACGAGCTCCTTAAAGGGATACTACAACGAAATTTCGGCGCTCATTTTTTGGTCGATATGTGTTCAAAAAAGCAGCATCACATCGAACATACCAATATCTTGTTAAAAAAGTCACGAAAAGGAATTTTAAAACGAATCAAACGATTAGCAAAGAGCACCTGGTGGATGTCGCTAACGCCTCACTTGTAATGCCCGTCTAGGAACCTTGACAGCTAGTGACGGAGGTTGTCTCGCCTCCGGCCACGACGAGAGAAGAGGGGCAGGAGGAACTCCCCTCTTCCCGAGAATGCCTTTTGTGTGTCGCAGAAGTCGCTATTGTCCCCCTACAAGATTACAGAAGATTAACCCGTCACTCAAAATTCGTACAAAAGCAGCCGCTTCGGTGGTTGGAACGACTAGGCCATCCTTTCGACGCCAGCCTCGCCGTAGCTTTGCTCGTCCTGAAACGACCTACGTCACGATTGCGTTGGATGTCACGTGGTCTCCGCCGGGCCTTCTCCGAGCGCTTGCCAGAGTGGGCCGTTCATAACAAAAAATCCAGCCACCAGGCTCAAAATACAAACGTGCGATTGTCATTTACGGATATTGTGGATCATATTCAACCCATTTTTGAACACAACGGGAATATTTCAAATTTCGTTGAAGTATCCCATAGAGTTTTTACAATAAACGCTGGAGGCTCGGCTGGCGCTAGTGTCTACGGGACTTCCGGTTGCAATTTGAAGCAGACAGCATGCAGTCTATATTTCCAGCCTCCCTGTGTATTCCTATGGGAAAACGTACGTGATATTTCTCTCTTCGCCAGGGAATCAGAGAAATCAGCGTAGGTTCTTTACTCGTAACGGGTACTGTGTAGTTTTATTCACATTATAAAAGTGTCATTTATTAACACGAAAGACGTTTACAATTCTCTGTAACGACGAATTGGAGCGCAGCTCTTGAGAAGGAAGAGGGAGAGGGGAAGGATATGCGCGTCCTCCTTCCCCGCTAGATTTAGCGGGAATATTGGAAACGTTAGACGCGCGAACGTCATACGTCACGTGACGTCCGGTGTTTCCCATAATGACGACACAGGTGGCGTCACGAGGGCAACGTTTTGACGTTACCCTCACGGGGATTACCCTCACAAGGGTTACCCTCACGGGGGCTACCCTCGTGAGGGTTACCCTCGTAAGGGTAATCCTCGTGAGGGAAACCCTCGTGAGGGTTACCCCGTGAGGGTAACGTAACCCCCATGAGGGTAAACTTTACGAAGGCTAGCCTAACGGGAGTTACCCTCAAGGGAGTAACCATCACGGGGGTTTCCCTTTCGTGGGGGTAACGTAAACCCCGTGAGGGTAACCTTCACGGGGTTACCCTCACGAGGGTTACCCTCAACCCCGTGAGGGTTGCCCTCACGGCGAGAGGGTTACCCTCACGGGGAACACGTTACCCTTACGGGGGGTAACCCTCACGAGGATATAAGCCTCGTGACGTCACGTGTGACGTCACACGTCCCATAATGCAAGCGCGGTTACGCCGACACCGGCGCCGACGGCGACGCCGCTCAACCGGCAAAACAGGCGCCTAAGGGCTGCGCTCTAAAAGAACAATTAAAAAGTGCGTAGAATTCATTCAAGCTATAAAATCATTCAGATGACGGAAACGCAGTCTCTTACTAATGCACAGTTCGTTAATAATCCAGTACGTATTCTTCATTCCGTAACTCCATGCTTCGTTCTTGTTGTCTGTTTTGATTGTTTGATTTTACATATATTAGCATCCTTTTGGTGTTTTGTCACGCTGATTCACTCTGCGGGCTTCAAAGCATTGACTATATGCGTAAATACGTGCCCATAATAGCAGTCTGTAACGTCAACACGTATTATACGTGTGCACAGGGCTATTTTAGCGCAGCTTTCAACGCCTCGAATTCCAACAACAACAAAAAAAGAAAAAACGCTCTGTCACATATTTTTGCACATCCGATTGTAAAATGTTCCAAACTTCTTATTCTGTCACAACACTAAGCAATATTTGCTCTTATAATCGAGCGCGAAGAGAAAACGCATTTGCGTTTTCCCATAGGAATACATTACCGGAAGTCAAATTTAGACTGCTTGCTGTCTGCTCCAAGATGCAACAGCACACTAGCGCCAGCTGAGCCTCTTGCATTTATTGTGATAACTCAATGGAAAGGCCACATGCTTGCGGAACATACTGAAGATATGAAAATACAATAAAAAGATGACTGGCTCATATGTTCCTTAGGCAGCCAAACTCTGTCTAGCAATGGCATTGACGGTGCGCTGGCGCAGGCATCACTGTCATTCAATTCGATTAAAAACGACCAGTTATATATATATATATATATATATATATATATATATATATATATATATATATATATATATATATATATCTTTTTTTTTTTTCAAATGTTGGGATGCATTTAAAACAATCACAGCGGCCCGCACGGTGTGTGCACTACGTGTGGGAAATTCTGTAGAAATTACAGCTTCCTTTGAAATCCAGTGCGCGAAGTTCCGCGCTTCTATCAGCCAGCAGCGGCGGGGGAAGTTCACCAGATGAGCGGTATTGTGGCGCCATCTATCTGTGAGTGGGTGCACTAGAAACAACATGGCGGATCTCAGGTACTGTGCTTGCTAGTGGTTGTCATTGGGGCGTCTTCATTCTTCTCCAAATGTGCGTTGTCTGGCTCCTTGCTGCAGACGGCGAGTTGAGCTCCGAAACTCACTAAAAACCGGTTTCTTGTAAAGGCTGAACTCAACTAGGTTGAATACTGCCATACTTCGTAAATGGTAATGTCGTGTGTATGTCTAAACAGACAGAAGTTAGTGCTGATACTCGACCTCACGCCAGTACTATGCTTATCCAGAACGGGCTGGGGTGGGGACTGAACCCATGATCCATAGGTTCTGCAGTGTGAGCGTTTGCTCCACGTGCTCCGAGCTGGTGTGTGCTAGCCTACTCGGTCAGTGACTGCATCGTCGACCGTTCATTTTGCAGCGAACTTCGAAGTTTGCACGCTGTCGCGTGGTATCTTGTCGACGGGGAGGCCATAAAAAATGTCGAGCGATTTCCGTCGCAAACTTTTCAAATTGCTGTAAAACCTCGTAAAAAAAAAAAAAAAAAAAATTAGAAAAAAAGTCCTGTAATGCAATTAAAAAAAGAAAAAAAAAAAAAAAAAGATCTCCCCGTCGGGGAATCGAACCCCGGTCTCCCGCGTGACAGGCGGGGATACTGACCACTATACTAACGAGGAATTTTTTTTTTTTTCTTTATTGCAAAGGCAAAACATAAACAGTCAAAACGTTAAAATGGTCTACAACACTTTTTGTAGAGCACATTAAAAACCTCTCATCTTAAGGAGAGGCTCACAAATGCCTAGCCAGTCGGGCTTCGGCTCACGGTTTCAAAGAACACTTTCTACTCGCCTAATGAGGCTGAAAAAGTAATATCTCACTTCTTTAGCATTGGGGTCGGCGTGGCGGACCGCCATGCGCGACCTCCATATACTACACAACCCAAGCAACATAATCAAATCAAAAGGAACACCATTGTCATTCGTTACGTTCAAGAAGCGAATGCCGGATGGGCTAATGCACAACTGCTTCTTCAGAGTGCGTTGAAGGACGTCCCAAAAAAAAACTGCATCCCAGCAAAAAATAAAAACGTGTTCAATGGTTTCTGGTTGTTTACATACGAGACAGTCAACCGACCATGGCACATAGATTCCTTTTTCCCTGAGCCATGCCTTAA